GGGCACCCTGCTGGCACAGCCTCCAGCCCCACAGCAACATGCAAGTCTCCACAGTCCAACAAACCGACAGACAAGTTCGTCTTCCTTAGCTGTTCCAACCACTCCGCTCACTTCCTGCCTGGGCTACCCCTATCTGTTCCTGCTGGGCCTGTCTGCGGCTGCTCCCTGCAGCCTGGGGCTCTCCACTGCCCACCTTACCTGTTCTAGCCGCTGACCCTGGCTGCCACTGCTCCCCGCCGCCTGAGGGCTGTCCCCCGCCCACCTTACTGCCCCCTGCACTGTCTGTAGATTAAAGTGGACAGCCCCACTGTGGAGTCTTACCATTGAAGAAGTCAGCATGCACAGCCTTCTCGTTGGCTGCCAAGTCCATAAGCAGTCCGGTGCTGCCTCCAGCCTGGGGGACAGAGAGGGAAATATCAGGTCATGTGTCCCCTTGCAGGGGTAGTGATATGAGTGTCAGTCCACCTGCCTCCCCACCACCGCTGAGGAGGAAGCGGGTGACACTGAGCGCCAGGCTCTGGAAGTGGGGCGGGCAGCTGACGGTGTCCTCTCTGAGATTTTCTCGGGTCTGGCCTTCCTTGGGCCTCCTCTCCTTTGGAAAAGGAACCTGCCGTTGCCCTCCAAGGCAGCATCACCCTCTGAGAGGCTCAGGCACAGGCCTCAGCCTGGCTTGCCACCTGGCTCAGTACCGGAAGGACCTCTCATCACATAGGCAGTGACCCCTCTAACCCCGTGGGCTCTCGGCTCCTCCCACCCCTCCACCCCACACTCACTGGCTTGGCAGCAGCCTGGACCCTGCCATGACCACTAAAGTCCCAGCTGTCCAACCACAGCCCCCTTTCCGATCCCCCCACCTTTGCGGCAGTTGCTCGGGGCTCCATCCTCCCACCCTTCTTCCTCTAGGAGCTCCGAGGTGAGGTCAGCAGGGCCCAGGCCTCCTCCGTGCCTGTGAGCCGACAACCCCAAACCGAGTCTGCTCAGCCCTCTTCTGAGCCACAGCCCCACAGTGGACATCGCCAGAGCACACGGAGGCATGCTTCACGCCCCCATGACCTGCCCTGGCCCTGACCTTCCGGCCAGCACCGTCACTCACAGGGCCTTCCACCGCCCCAGCTCTGTGGTAGCAAAAGCCCACCGCCACCAAGGCTGGGCACTCTGACTGACTCAGCTCTCAGCTCTCCCCAGAGACACGGAGCAGAGGGCGGAACTGTGTTTGCTGGTGGCAGCCGGCCCC